TGCGTTTTGTGCAATTCAGCCCATCGAACGATTGCCTATTAATGATTTTCACTGCTTTGTACTTCATGCAAAAATTTGGCGGGGGACATGCTCACTAAATTTCAGCCTTCTACCTTTCGTGCTCCCGAGATACTTGTTTTACCCGAAAAACTTTACGGGGCCGTACTTGTTACCTGCGGGTACGGGAAGACTGAATTTAAATTTGCCGCATCAACCGTTGGCCGGGAACACTATACTAAAATTTCAGCCACCTAGCCTTTGTGGATCCCAAGTTGAAAGTGCGGGACAAAATGTGGGACATACACATACACACACAATCCCGTGACAATATGCGTTTTGTACTGCTGTTGCACAGCAAAAAACGCACAAAAACAAGGAAATGAACGCCATAACGACCAACAAACTGATCCGGCAATGGAACCTGAATCACGGTAACCAAGACCGCCTGAAAATCCGCTCCGGGGTTCTCTGCGCCCCCTCTCGCACTAAGTTTTGAGCTGAGATTAATCGTAACAACAGTGTATATTGATCAAATGATAAAGAGTGACTTGAGTTCCCATGGTCCTCAACCTCACAGTCAATTATCACGGAGAACGCATAAAGAATGACCATTTTAAGTTTATTTGGAATTTAGCCTGACCAGCACGCAGATTCGCAACAAGCAAAAATGACAGGGGATAAATCATGAAAACCAATTCCTACTGACAATAAACTCGACACCGCTAGCACTTCGTTGTTCTCCCATGTCCAGCAATATCATTTTATCATCCCTTCAAGTCATGAATTTTCAACTTTCCGATATGTTGTATGATGTTCTGCTAAGTCCCAAGAAGAGATTTGTAAATTCATCCTTCGAAAATAACCTACATTTGCGTATCAGAAGGCTCACTCTACTTCATGGCGACAATTTTGGACAACTGAAATTCGTTACTGCTTACTCGTCTTTAAACTGTCAGTTCAAACACCATTAAGGGTACCCAGGACAAAGCGGCATAGTTTTTATGCGTTTTTTGCATCTACGCAGTGCAGAAAATGCACACTGACGAGGAGTTGTCTGTGTGTGAGTCT